ACTTGCCGAGTTTTCTTTTTTTTTTTTTTTTTAAATATTTTTTATTTATTTATCTTTAGAGGGGAAGGGAAGGAGAGAGGGAGAGAAACATCAATGTATGGTTGCCTTTCGTGCGTCCCCTGCTGGGAACTGGCCTGCAGGGAACTGGTCTGCAACCCAGGTATGTGCCCTGACTGGGAATCGAACCGCGATTGTCTGGTTCGCAGGCCCGTGCTCAATCCACTGAGCTACACCAGCCAGGCCGAGTTTTCTATTATCATCAAGTTTTCCCGGATGAAGGCTCACTGACAGCAATGAGAATAAGACACGTGTGTTTGACACCTTAAAAATCAGGTGTCTACAAAGAGAGAAACTGTGCGTGTGTGCGTGTCAATTTTCAGAGTGGGGGCAGGCGAGACTGACCAGCGGGCACCAAATACGGAAGCTATGAAATGGATTCACTACTTCTTAGCATACTTTTCATGAGCTAAATGTCCAAATTATCATCCCTAACAAAATGGTCCCTTTGTGAGCTCTCTTTTGGAATTTAGTGCTTGAAATTGTCTAAATTAATTCAAACACTGGGTGGACTTGATTTTTGCGTGTGGTTTGGTGACAAGATCAGCAATCAGTCTGTCGGGCACTGTTTTGTATAAAGAATGAGCAGTGACTGTAGTGAAAACAATTGCCTTCTGTGAATCTGACCCAGACCCTCAATTCTTAGCCCCCTCTTCAGGCCACCTTCTGTGTCGCTGACAGAGTTCCTTGCTCAAACACAGAGCCGATGTCACTTAACTGCTTGAAAATATCCAGTGGCTTCTCATGACCGGAATTCCACACGCGAGCCAAGCTCCTGTGCTCTGAGTTGGGGTGGAAAGCCATGGGCCATGGAGTCAGGCCAGCATGGGTTTAAATCTCACCTCTGTGTCTTCAGGCAAATAAGCCAAATTATCTTGCCCTCAGTTGTAAAAAAAACAGGGCTAACAACACCTACTTTGTTAGGTTGTTCTGAGGACAATAGAATTTCTAAAGGGTACAAAGTAGTAAACTCAGTAAATGGCAGTTATTCTTCCTCATGTCATTCAACACTTGCTTTGATCCAGTGTCAACCTGTCTGGGGAGAACCTTCAGGTCTCAACACACCCCAGGTTTCCCACGGAGACGTGCAGCCTCCATCCAGCTGTATTTTGCCTCCCTGCAATTCCTTAGACGCCTTCTCTCCTTCTTCACTTTGCTTATATTATTGCTCCCTTTTTAGTGTCTCTTTTCCTGCCAAATACTATGTAACGCACCATCGCCTCAGTTCATGTTTATAATTTCTGCACACAGGACTTGGTTGTAGTCCAGTTGTAAGTTTCTTGGATGGGGAACTGTCTTCCAATTCAGCTTAGAAACTCCCACCAAGCCCCAGCAAGGTGCCTGGTTCAGAACAGCCTGCTGGTAAATGGCTGCTAAAAGAATTCATTCCAAGAGAAACTTTATTTTACTAGTACTACTTTTTAAAAAAATCAATGCTGCTTCCTACTAGAGAGTCCACTTGGAGGGATCACACTCATCTGCACGTACAATGTCAAGTCCTCGTGTGTTTCACAAGCACTCTCCATTCTTCGGATCTCATCTAAGATATTTTCGTTTTAGCTGGTAGAGATGAGGAAGAGGAAACAGATGAGGACCATACAAATGTTGATGACAGAGTAAAATTCGGCAGCTGCTTGGTTTTTTAATGAAGTATAACTTACCTATAGGAAGGAACGCGCGTCTTAGATGTAAGCTCTATGAATTTTCACCAGCACTCAGACAAATATACAAAACACCATTTGATTAAAAAAAATATTTCTATCTTGAAATGTCTCTAATATTCCTTCTCTCCTAACTCCTGCCCGCTGCCATGTGTGGGCCCAATCACTTGCTAATCAGTCTCCTTCCCCACTCCCCGACCCCCTCAGTTGCTGGCTCCTGGCAAACACTCCAATACTTGAATAAATGAGTGAGTGAATGAACGAACGGACAGACGGACGGACGGACGGACGGAATACACGAATATTGTTAAATGGAGGAGACCCCGTTTGGAGGGCAAGGGCAGTCTGTAGGGCTGTTCCCAGGCGGCTGGAGTACATTATTCTACTTTGCCTACATCAGTTCAGGTTCTGGAGTTAAAGGATAGCTACTGGGAATTCAAAGGTAAGATTTTCTCCCCCCCCCCCCCCCCCCCCCCGCAAAGAGTTTCAAACGGAGATTGAGGGCACGGAAAGTTTGAGCTGCAGGTGGGTCTCTGGCCAACCGCGCGCGCGCCACTCCCAGGCCCCGCTGGCTCCGCCTTCCCCAAAGCCGCGGGGTAGACACACCCTCCGTGCCGCAGTTCAGTCCGGGAGGCTATCTATCACTGTCTGGATGCCAGCCAATCGGACCAGCTCCGCCTTCCTGCCAACCAATGACCGGAAAGCAGGGGGCGCGCGGTGTCAGAGAAGGGGGGGCGGAGGGGCCGGCTCAGGGTGGTATAAAGGGGGTCCGAGAGCTTGGCGGTACTAGTTCTGTGTCCCTTACCCTGTGTAGGTGTGGGTAGCGTCCCCCCTCTACCAGGGCCCCGGGGCCAGTGCTTCCCTGTACGCCCTCTGGCTGGACCCAGGCCCACGAAGTCTCTGTTTCTGACGGCCCTGGGCACACGTCAGCAGGAGGAAAGGGCGTTCCCGAAAGCTCCTTTCCCTACGTGTAACTCAAGACCCTCTTGGTCGCCCACGAGGGCAAGGGGCAAAGGGATGCAGACCGACAGAGAGGGGCCCTGGGGCGGAAGGCCGGCCCCGATGACCACTCGCGCCGGGAACAGCCTGCTGCCCTTCCCGAAACCCGGTCCTGGGCAGACGGCGCCGGGCCCACCCGGTGCTCCGTGCTCCCCTCCGCTCGCGCTCGTGGCGGCGTAAATTAGGCCGTCAAAGCACAGCCAGTGCCAGCGGTCAGAGCTCTAGGCAGACGGCCAGGCTCGCCGTCCTGGTGGCTCCGCGGGCTACAGGCGCCGACAGGAGGCCGGGGACACCACGGAGTCTCTCCCTCTGCCCGCAAAGGGCCAGTCTTGCAAACTGGGGCTCCAGGAAGCAGCAGCGTCGCTCCGTGCCAGCCTGCCCGGCTTCTCCCGCAGTTCTGTGCAGCATTTTTTGCGTTGTCCTCTTTCCCGCTGCGGGCTCGGGTAAACTGCTTTGCAGCAACCTCCTCCCCACAGTTCTTTAGCTGCAATGAGCGAGGACACCTTTCTGGTCACTTCTGTGCATTGCCATGCCCACTCGGCTCATTCCTCTTAACCCAGAACAGTCCCTGTGTGGGTGAGGGGTTCGGGACGGCCCCAAAGCAGGGGGGAGAGAAAGCCATCTTTCTCCAGCAATTCCCCTCCAAGCCCTGCTCTAGGGAAATTGCTGCAAACACTGTAACCTTTCAGAGCCTCGGTATGCCCCTCCGTGAAATGGGGATGGGATTGCATAGTCCACGGGATTCAATGAGCCAGTTTATGGAAACCACAGGACTTCAAATTCCTGTTCCTACACAATTGGAATTGCAGGGCCGGGTAGGACGCGACTAGGTTGCTAGGAAGCGAATCTGCCCTTCCCGTCCTTGTGGTCTTTTAGAGGCGGTGAATGGAGCGAGACACAGGATGAGGTCGCATTCTTGCCAAAGTATTTCTGGAGAATATCTCATTTCCCGTCCTCACACTGGCCCCTGAACTCTACGGCATTTAATTGCATACTCTTTGTTCCCTTTTAGAGTTGCCTTTTTGCATTATTCACTGGAAATGGTTATGCACACGGTGTTTACAATGCATATGTTTACATAACTGTATCTTTATCGTTTTCTCTAATTACAGAAGTACTCATGCCCACTACAACTATCCAATCTAATAGTTTTATAAGGGAGGATGTGAAACCCGCAAGGTTTCAATTAACACAGGGCTCGCCGCTTTCTTACAGTAGCGGCTGGCGGGGAATTCTCCGGGCGGGCCAAGCAGGCTGATTGCTAGTGCAGTTCTCAGTCCCCGGCGTCGGAGCCCACCACTGTCAGGCCGGAGCAGGGGTCTGTCCCGCCCTGAGGGGCGGAGTTAGTCAGGAGTGCGGAACCCAGAGGGAGCGCGTCTCCCTCTTTCCCCTCCAGGTGGCGCTATAGGATTGCGGATACGCTTCTGGGGCGGAGCTCCCAGCGCCGGCGCCGGCGCGGGGCGGTGACGAGACGGGGCGTGGACTGGAGGCTTCAGTTGACAAGGTATCCAAGGGAAACAAGTTTTCCGGGAAACGAACGCTAGACACTCTGGGAATTTAAGTACCTAGGCGCAGAAAGTGTACGCGTCAGAGAAAGAACGGGAGAAATGGGGAGTTCTGGGACGAGGACAAAAACGAGGAGTCGCGTCTCCCAGAAAGTCGCTCCATTCTTCTCGTTTGTCCCCCGGGGTCTCTCCCCTCCTTTGTCTCCCACCGGACCTGTAATTCTTCACACCCTCTGGAGTGCACTGGGGGCTCTGGTCGCAAATGCACGGGGGCTGGGGATGGTGCTGGCTGCGTCCCGTCCCAGCCTTGGCAAGCTCGCAGGGCTCTAGTGCCCAGGGTACGTGCCAGTGCAGGAATTCCGCAGTCCCAGCCATTCCAAGAAAAACAGGCGTGCTGTTCCTCAGTTTGTCCAGAGGAAGCCTTACGCCCTTCCCTTCTGGAGGCTGGCAATAGGAAAATGACTCAAAGAATCCCCAACTGGTCCACCCTGTGTGTACCCTCTTTTGTCTCATTTTCCTGAACATGCACTATTCCTCCTGCTAACTACTCTTACTGTGTCACACAATCCTTGTCACATATGGGGCTGGATGGTATTCGTGTCACACCCCCTCAGTATGTTAAATTGTCCCCTTTCCCTTGACCCACAACCACTGGAATATGCCCTGGTGAGGGGCATCTTAAGGGCAAGGCACAGGAGCCCTTAGCAGAGCACACACACACACACACACACACACACACACACACACTTCCCAGGCCAGCAGAGAAGGAGACCATGAGCAGGAGACAGCAGGTTTATTCGGGCTCTGGGGTCAGGGACGCCTGAGGTCTGAGTTAAGGCTGCTCAGCTGGGTCTCGCAGCCTGATCAGCAGGCCGGGACAATGAGCAGGGATGACTCAGTGCTAAAGCCAAATCTCTTCATTTCGGAGTCCCTGGCCAGAAGCTTCAGGAGTTGGTTCTGGGAGGGCCTGGGGATAGAGAGGGGTCTCTTCTCTCCCCTGGAGTCTTTGAGTTGTTTGCCAGGATCCGGGAAATGATCTGGGGGAGGGAGCCTCAAACGCACAGCCTTCATTTCAGTAAGGACCATTTAATTTGTTCCTTGGCAGACTGAAGAACCTAGAGGTGGGAGGAAGGATGAGAGACTTTGGGGGCGTGTCAAGCACCTCGATACTGCAGTGAGACGGGGGTCTGGAGCCCACCTTCTTTATGTGTCCCTGCAACTCCGGGTCACTAGGTGGCAGCAGTTCGTCTCTGCCCGAATTCAGCGGGGCCAGGCCACCCAGAGAGAGAGCAGTCCAAACTGGCTGCAGCCAGCTCCCAGCCCAGGCCCAGACCTGCACAGCCTTCTGCTGGTTTCTGCATCTGCAGTGGTGGGTGTGGCCCGAGGCCCGGCTTTCCCATACCATGTCATGCTAGCTGCCGCCCACAGTGCCACGTCCAGGCAGAAACTGGGGCCAGGCCTGTCACTCCCTGAACCCAGACACCTCAGCAAAACTCTAGGTCTGGCCCTGGCTGGCAGCATGTCTGTCCTCCACCTCCCACCCCAACCCACTGCTGATGTGGCACAGCTGGCAGAGGGCGGCTGGTCAGGCACTGCCTCGGGACACCTGCACTCAGATTGCTCGCCGTCCCCTGCAGCTGAGGAAACAGGCCCTGTCCGCTGCTCATGCAAATCCACACAAGTGCGCACGCACACAGCGCCAACATGGCGGCGACTCAACCCACAGGTTGTCCCTCCAGCCACCAAGCCTCACTCCCTTCGGAAGGCTCATCCCAAATTGTCTGTCCCTTCTTTTTGCACAGCCTCCCTTCCTCTCTCAGGGACAGCCTGGCCCTGGGGGTTCTCCTGCTTCTAGGCAGATCCTAATCTCATCTCATCTCCCACTCACTCCCTACACCTTCCCTAGTCAATAATTCTATTGAAAATGCTGCAACTTCATTCTCCTCCCCTCTGGAAAAATAGGGGCCATGCTAAGGATTTTCCATGTGTTAGCTCATCTGATGCTCCCAATAACTCCACGAGGAGTGCGCCGTGGTTATGTGAGACCTGGAGAGGCTGAGTAACTTGCCTATGTCACCCGGATTCTAGAGGGTAAAGTGGAACAGACACGCGGGGGTGACTCACACCAGCGCCTGCGTTCTTACCCGCTCTGCGCATGCTCCCTGACCTCTTTGCATCAGAAAACTGCCCTGGGGCTGCACTCCTCCTGGCAGGTATGAGGAGGCCTGGAGAACCAGGAGGAGGGAGAGGCAGCGTGGACACCAAGGGCAGTGACAGGAAAGTGGGCGCCACCCCTGGGGCTCCACACGGGACGTTATACACCCATCTCGGCCTGGGCCACTGCAGCAGCAGGGGGTTAGTGCCAAAGCAGGAAGCTCCGAAAAGTCAGGATTAGTCTGTGCAGGGAGACCTGAGGGCGGACAGAACAGAGGGCCAGCGGTCAGTCTGACAGGCAGGAAGTTTGCACAGCTGTGCACGACTGGAACCAGTCAAGCCGCAGATCCAGAGACTTCCCTCTTGCCCCACGTGCACCCCCAGACAGGACCATGCAGGGGACTCTTCCACAGCCAGGTCACTCAGGGGTTAGGTGGCAAGTGAGGCAGGGAGAAAGTTAGATGCTATCACAGGCTTCAGGGTCCCTTAACAATTCCAGCTTGGACCTTAGCATGGAGGGGCGAGGGTTTGGAGGGGACTCCTGTTCCTTGTCCTTTCCGGGCCAGGGGGAGAATCGGGGACCTGAGTCCTTGGACTGCTTTGGGGGACAAGTGACTCAGCCATCTCCAGGGTGGGCAGCTTACCCCAGGGGTTCAGTCTCACCATACGGAGCCAGGAGAGGAGGTGGTTACCAGCGAGGACTGGGCGTCAATTATTAATGCCCAGCTCAGCACCACCTCAGAGATGCCAGGGGCCCCCTGCGACTCTCCCCAACAGATGGCCTGTCACTGCCCCGTCCCTCCCACACCCTGGCCCCTCAGCCTTGTTAGGTCCCATTGGGTCCCCCGGGAGGCTCTGCTCTCTGCCCTCTAGTCCAAGGCAGATGTTGGGGGCCTACCTGGGCCACACTCTGTTCAGTCAAGCCGCTGTCATCTGCCTGTGGAGAAGCAGTGTCACGGGATGGTCAGGTCGGGGGAGAGCACTGGGTTTGGAGAGGGAGATGAAGGGGCTTGGGGTGGTGGCGAGTGAGGCGGTGGTTAGGAGGATCCAGGCCCGCACCTGTGTCACCCGTCAGTGGAAGCCGGGACCCCCAGGGCCTGTCTATGATGCATGGAGAGTAAGGGAAGAAGCTGGTAGAAAAGGTTTGATTCCAACAGGAAAGCCGAACTAGGCAGGGCAGGCACAGGGAGGACAGGGGCGAGGATGATGGCGAGGGCAGCCTAGAGGAGGGGAGGGGGCACGTGAGAAGTCTCTTACCCTAAAATTCACTTTCTGGATCACTTGCTGGGGGTCACTCTCCAGGATCACACTGCAAGATGAGAGAGAAACCGGGAGGAAAGCCGGTGACGTGATGTTCCCGCTGCCCCCGCTCCGTGCGGAAGCCTCTTCCCTCAATCACCGTGTCCTGCAACGTTCCCCCCACCCCGGGGCACCTTCCCACGGGGGGTCCTCAAGTCAGACCTCCCCCTACACTCCCTCAGCTCTGGTGTCTCTGCATTTCCAACCTGGTGGTCTCACACTTGGTCATCTTTGAGCAAAAGCCGTGAAATCGAGGGGATCCAGTCCAGGACGATTGGGGTGTCAAAAGCAGGGGCTCAAAAACTCAGTGCTCTCAAAAGTTTGTGGTCCCTTCTGGGTCAGGGATGGATTCAGACACAGCGAGGGAAGGGAGGTGACTTGGGGTGTCTAGCTGGGTTCACTATTATTCTATGCCATAGACGAAAGAAATGGAACTCTAAAAATCAGAATCTATCGTCCCTTTTGATGGACCCAGATACCAAGACTTTTCTCAGCTAGCGTGCACTCTTGCATATCTTGGGGCGCTCTGCGGCCATTTGTGGGTATGCGTGTGGGTGCAGGAGGGAGGGCCTCCCTGTGGGCGGCACAGAGACCACAGGGCAGACTGGGTGAGGCTCCTCCCGGGCAGAAGCCCAGCTTTGTCTCTGTGCTGCCCCCGGGGAGCGACGAGACCTTTCCTGGGCACCTTCTCCAGGCCCCATCCCTGGGGCACCCCCAGCCCCGGGTTCCCCACCAGAGGTCCTTCCTCCTCAAAGACAGAAGCACCCCAGACCAATGCTCCGGTGTAGGCGTCGACTCGGCTGACAATTCCCTGATTTTCCTGGGGGGGGGGGGACTGAGAGCTACTCAAGGGGCAGAGACTGGGCCTGTTGGGGGCACAGACCCAGAACCCAACAAAGCCTATGCCCTCCCTTGTACGGGCCCTGCCTGGGCCCCTCCCCTCACTTGGTGGTTGTGCGTGTGCTTTCTTTTTTTTTTTAAATTTTTTTATTGATTATGCCATTACAGTTGTTCTATTCCCCCCTTCATTCCCCTCCACCCTACCCCCCGTCCCCACCATTACCCCCCCTTTAGTTTATGTCCATGTGTCTCAAGTTCTTTAGATTCTATATTTCCCATGCTATTCTTGCCCCCCCATCTATTTTCTATCTACTGTCTATGCTACTTATTTTCTGTACCTTCTCCCCCCTTCTCCTCCTCCCACTCCCCTGTTGCTAACCCTCCTTGAGATCTTCATTTCTATGTTTCCACTCCTGATCTAGCTATCCTTTTAGTTTGCTTTTGTTTTAGGTGTGGTTGTTAATAACTGTGAGTTTGTTGTCCTTTCACTGTTCATGTTTCTTTAACTTCTTTTTCTTAGATAAGTCCCTTTAACATTTCATATAATAAGGGCTTGGTAATGATGAACTCCTTGAATTTGGTCTTACCTGAGAAGCACTTTATCTGTCCTTCCATTCTAAATGAAAGTTTTGCTGGATAGAGCAATCTTGGTTGTAGGGCTTTGGATTTCATGACTTGGAATACCTCTTTCCAGCCCTTTCTTGCCTGTAAGGTTTCTTTTGAGAAATCTGCTGACAGTCTGATGAGGACTCCTTTGTAGGTGACTGTCCCCTTATCTCTTGCTGTTTTTAGGATTCTCTCCTTCATTTTGATTTTGGCTAATGTAATTATGATATGCCTTGATGTGTTCCTTCTTGGGTCCAACTTCTTTGGTACTCTCTGAGCTTCCTGGATTTCCTGGAAGTCTATTTCCTTTGCCAGATTGGGGAAATTCTCCTTTATTATTTGTTCAAATAAGTTTTCCACTGGTGGCTGTGCCTTTCCCCCCTTCTGGTACCCCTATAATTTGGATGTTGGAGTGTTTAAAGATGTCCTGGAGGTTCCTAAGACTCTCCTCATTTCTTTGAATTCTTGCTTCTTGACTCTTTTCTGTTTGGCCATTATTTGCTTTCTTCTGGTCCACTCCGTTGATTTGAGTCCCAGTTTCCTTTTCATTGCTATTGGTTTCCCGTGCAATTCCATTCATTTCAATTAGTTTCGCCTTCATATATTTGTCTAATTTGTGGCTATAATCAACCAGTTCTGTGAGGATCCTGATCACCAGTGTTTTAAACTGTGCGTCTGATAGTTTTGCTATTTCTTCATCACTTAGATTTATAGGCTCTGGGGCTTTGAGATCTTCTTGAGCCATTTTTGGTCTGTTCGTGCTCTTTAAGTGTGAGGAGCGGAACCTTGGACTACCAGGTCGCTGGGTTGTGACGCAGTATGTGGGGGCGTGGTCAGAGCGGGGAAATGGCGGCCCCCTCTGCTGTTTCTTGACCGCTGGGTGAGGAGCAGAGGCTTAGATGGTTCACTGGGGCCGGGCCACTCAGAGTCGCTGGGTTATGACGCTGAATGTGGAGGTGGGGTCAGAGCAGGGAAATGGTGGCGCCCTCCCCGCCGCTTGTCGGCGGGACTGGCTGGGTCCCGGTCTAACCGCCCACTCCCTCGCTTGTCTATCTGAGCACAAATGCGCGACCACAGTCAACCCGCAGCCCTGCTCCCTCGCTGTTTCCCCGCGGTTGCTCACTTTGTTGCTCACTCGGTCGCTCACTAGGTCCAAACCTGCGCCTGGATTCCTCACACCTGAGTCCGTCTGACCGAGTTTTCCTATGCAACCCTGCTCCACCAGCTGCTGGTTTCGCCCCTTACCAGTCAGGCTGAAGAATTTGTTGTTATCAGACTTCCGAAAAGTTCAATTTTCCGTGTTCTGGCTGTGTTTTCTGTTGCTAATATTTAGTCGTCTCTAAACTTGGTTGTGTGAGAAGGCATGGCTTATCCACCTATGCCTCCATCTTGGCGGAAGTCCCGTGCGTGTGCTTTCTATAAAGAGGTGCCACCAAATGGGATGTCCTTCTGGTTCCACAAAACCTGGACTTATTCTACTCCCTTTTGGGGCCCAGGAATTAGCCCCAGGCCTTGCAGTAGCAGGCAGTCAATGGGGAGAGAAGGGGGAGGAATTCCACCACCCACACCCCAGAGCAGCCTGGCCCCTGGGTGCGTGGCACAGTGCTGTGGAACCAGGCCCGTGGCTTTGGCTCTCGGCCCTGCCGTGTGACCTTGGGCAAGTCACTTGATCTCTGAGCCTCTGTTCCCTCATCTCTAAACTGGATGTAATGCTAAAGGCGTGTGGATGTTTTTAAGATGATCAGTTTTTATTATTCTTTGCCCTAGAGCCAGAACGTCTTTTTCTCCCCAATTACTGCCCCCCTTGGGGATTCACTAACCAAGCTTTGTCATTGTCAAAAGCGCACCCAGCTTCCAAGGACATAATAGCACCCCAATAGCGGACGACAGTTGTTGAAGGAGAACCAGGAGCTTCACTAGCATTCCCTGATCTCCTCCCTGCCCCCTACGAAGTAGTTCCTCTACATCCCCATTTGAAAGATGGGGAACGTGAGGCTCAGGGGGAAAAAGTAACTGGCCCAGGTCACGCATCTAGCCGACATGGGAACGGAGCTCTGTGAATGGGATACGTGGACACAGTAGGGCTCTGCCAGGATGAAGCCCTTCCAGGGAGGGGCCAGTGTCGGCTGCCTGCTTCTCCTGGGCCCTGGAGAGCAAACCCCTTCCTCCGAAACCCTGCCTATGCCACAGTCAGCCACAGCTGGACATCGGATTCCTTTCTTGTTTGCTTGACTTTGGCTAACACAGACATCAACCTCCATCCTCGTGAGTGGGGTGGGGGGATGAGATCACTGGGACTATGATGGGAGAAGGGAGGGGAGGAGTCGGCCCGAGAGAGAGCCGACAGTGAGCTGGGCGCAGTGTGGAGCGAGTGACCTTCAAAGGCACCACCTGCTGTGAGTCTCCCTGACCACCTGCTCCTCACCCGCCATCCACAATCTCGTCCAGCACCAAGAAGGCTCCATCCATGTTCTCCAGCAGCCAGCGCTTCTCCACGTTCTTCCTGAAGGGGACACAGCTCCTGAGCCTCCCCTGGCCGGGGGGAGCCAGGCGCCTGCCTAGGTGAGGCAGGCCCCCCTCTCCACCTATACCTCACCACATCCCCAACAAGCAATGGGAAGGACAATGTCAAGGGCAGTGAGGGGAGCGCCTCTCTGGAGCAGAGGACAGGCCTGCTTCCTTAAGCCCTCCTTGCCCAAGCTCCCACCCTTGGGGCATAGACACGGTGCCCACCGTGGCACCCCTAATGCGTCTCATAGCTGATTTCGACGCTATAGCCCTACTACAGTTATTTGTGTTGACTGGGGAATTTACTTATTCTTGGATTATCCTAGTTGGGTTTCCCCAGGTCGTACTCCCTGGAATAGACACCAGATAACAGAACAGGGGTCCAGTGAAACCACCCTGAGGTTCAAGTCAGAAAGCCCTGAGTTTGAGTCTCTGTTCTTGTATAAACCATTTGCAACCTCAAGCAAATCATTTGGCTTCTCCAGGCCCCGTTTTCTGGCCGTACCCTCACGTGGCTCTGGATGGTACCATGGTGGTTGGGTAATGGCAGAGGCCTTGCAGGGGATGCTCCGGCTCCAGGCTTAGTTTTGTAGGGACTTCGGGACAAAAGCAGGGAGGAAAGACCCTGCTTCTGTGACCTATGAAGGCACAGGGGGTGGGGGCCTTGAAGGGCAGAGAACGGCACTCACCTTAACATGTGATTCAGGGACTCAAACAGGCAGGTGAGAACAGACATGAGCATCAGCTGGGGGTGGGCAGACATGGGAGGAAAACGAGAGAGCGTGAGGTTGGGGAGGTCGAAAGGAGACCTCAGAGTCTACCTGCCGGGGAAACTTTCCCGGTGGACAAGGCTGGAGCCTGACTTCAGTGCGACCTTGGAGTATGCCTCCTGTGGACGGTTGGGAAGCACGAGAGCGCCCCACTGTGGACACTGAGTGTACCCTTCTGTAGAGATGATTTAAAAAGAAAGAACCAACCCTGGCTGGGGTGGCTCAGTGGATTGAGCGCGGGCCTGTGAACCAAAGGGTTGCCAGTCCGATTCCCAGTCAGGGCACCCACCTGGGTTGTGGGCCAGGTCCCCAATAAGGGGCATGTAAGAGGCAACCACACATTGATATTTCTTTTCCCTTCCCCTCTCTCTAAAAAGTAAATAAATAAATAAGTAAATAAATTTTAAAAAAATAAAAAAAGAAATAGAGGCTCCTGCAGAGAGTGTCACTGCTCGTTCCTAAGGAACCCAAGGGCCATGACAGCCATGTCTTGTCCCAGAAGGAACCGCTGTGGCTGCCCACCGACCCCCCGGGTCCAGGGGGAGGGGCACTAATGGGAACTGCAAGGGAGCTACTGACGCCCTCCGTCATAGGCCCCTCACTCTGTGCTGGTGCGTGTGCTCTCCGTGAGGAGGAGCCACCAGATGGGATGTCCTCTGGTTCCACAAAACCTGGACGTACCCCACTCCCTTTTGGGGCCCAGGAATTAGCACCAGAACCCAGCTTCGACCCCAGGCTCCAATCCATTCCACCCACAGACCCTCTTTGTCACCCCAACTCCTGAATTCACCTCGTTCTCGTGGGATGAGCCCACCACATAGAGGAAGAGGTCAATGCTGCTCTTGTAGACGATGGTCATGCCCCCGAAAAATGCGATCTCACCTAGAAGTGGGGGACGGTCAGCCCCGGCCACCCCGGCCGGCCCCTCCTCCACGGCTCCAGCTCTGCGCCTCCCCCTCCCGGTTTCCTTCTCCCCTTTCCGAGGAGCCCTGGGCAAGACCAGCACCAGGGACACCACCGGGGCTGCTCTCTGCCCTTCCCTCCACCCTCTTTTTCTAGCAACCACCTCATTCTGAGGAATCGGCAAACCCAGTTCGAGGTGGACCTTCCAGCCCCTCCGACCACGTGCTGTGCTGTGCACCAGCCTCACCACTCAGTTGGCCTCTTCCCCCGAGAGGGGTCTAGGTGTACTGGGGGGGGGGAGGTTTGAGAGGAATGTGGGGGGCGGGGGTGAACAGCTGGGCAGGAGAGGAAAACGAGCCTCTGGAGGAAAGGAAATGGCCCGTGGGTGTCCAGGGCCGACGGGGACAGGTGTGTCCAGACGGAAGAGAGGACCGTGAGTGTGGGAGAGTGCCGAGCGTGGAAGAGGAGGACACTTACTGTCAGTCCGACTGGTCTTACTGAAGACGTTTTTCTCGAAGGCCATCTGCTCCTTCATGGAGGGAAATGTGTCGTCATAATACTACGAGAAAGGGAAGGCGAAGGGGTGAGAGCCGTCCCACAGAGTCTGGGTGCGCCGGGCGCAGGTGGCAGGGAGTGGCGGGTGCCGGCCCGTGTTCCATCTGATTGCCCTCTAGGCCTGAACGCTCATTGTTTCCCCATAAACACCAGTTCTAGGCACAGAAAGCAGTAAAAAGTGGAGAAACTTTGAGGCCTGTTTTTGGAGTCGTCTCCTGATTCTCGGAGGTGTATGGACGCTGAGCAGACATGCAGTGTGCTGAGGACTGGGGGGGGGCCGCTAAGTCGTCAGCTGGAGTCCACATGAACCTGAGTCTGCAGAGGGCTAAGCCCAGGGTCCTGCACCAAAACAGCAATAATCCCGACTGCCTCTTTATCACCCCCATTGTCCTGATGGGGGCTGAGGTGTGAAAGAGACGGGGAACTTCCTGACACTGCACAGTGGGAGGGGCGGAACTGGGGTGCAACAGCAAGGACGTCGTCCGACTTCAGGCGACGTGAGGACTAAATATCTAAGGAAAAGTTCCCGGCATACACTGCACAATTAAATCAACGCTGTTTTGCCTGGGTTTCCTGAGTGTCTCTCTGTGACTCTATTTCTTAACCTGACCGTCGGGGACATGCCCTTCAGGGAGGAGGTCCTAAAACCTCCAGCGTTGCCAATCCACCTCTGACTATCTACTGGGGCAGGGTACAGTGAGCTCGCTCGGCTTCTGTTTTCTGGATGTGGATAATGCCACTTAGTACCCAACTGTCGGCAAATTGTCTCCCTGCTGACCACTACGGTCAACAAAAAGTTTCAGCCCCAAACAAACAAACACTGTAATGTATTTCATAGCTAGTTTCGATGCTGTATCCCTACTATAGTTAATTGTACTGATGGTAGACAGTTACTTTTGGATTGCCCTGCTTTGGCTTCCCAAGGCCGCGCTCACTGGGATGGGTGCCGGGTGACTGACTAGTTCGTGCGGAGAAAGCCACCTTCCTGAGCTCCAAGTCAAAATACCTGAGCTTGGCTCTTTGCTCTGACGTCAGCACTTGGAACCCCAGGTGCCTCATTCAGATTCTCTAGACCGCATTTTCCTCATTTGTGGAAGAGTTGAACTATGCGTGTGGTCCTGAAACCCTGACTGGTGCTAAGTTCTGAGACTCCTCAGACTAAATCCTGAGTGTTTACTAAGCTGTGGGAGAAGAGTGCAGGTTGCTTGTTTAAAATGTGGGGACCAGGATTCCTGGGTCCCAGGCTCCACACACCACTGACCCCTGGAGGGTTCCCATCCAGGCTCAAGGCCAAGATGGCTACTTGGAAGGATGACGAGAAGACATTTCAGGGGACAGGATTAGAACAGGAAGGCACCCTGCCCCATCCAGGGTCCAGCCATCTGACAAGGCAGGGGGATGGACATGGTGGCCCTTGGAGGGTCTCAGCTGAGCTTCTCTGAGTGACCGAGCCCGCAGAGGGGTCTCTCCTGAGGCAGGAGTCCGCTGGGTGGGGACCTCTGTTCTCGGGGCAGTAGCGCAGTTTTCAGGGGCCCTCGGGTGAGGGTGGGGGGTTACCTTGGCCAGCAGGCGGTGTCCGTCATGATCTAGGATGAAAACAGCCTTGATGGTGTAGAGAGAAGGTTCCTGCAACTGACACGGGGTGGGGTGGGGGAGTCCATTGGCCCCTGACTCAAGGCAAATACCCCGTCATTGACTTTATGGGAACTGCTGGCCCCAGGAGTCCACGATCAGGGTCCAGTGACCCGGGGCCTAAAGGTTCATAGCTGGTTCTTGCCCAACCCTGTGCCACGCGCGCCGCCTCCTGGCCTGCTGCCCCCACCCCCGCAGACGTTCCGCCGCAGGCCCCTGGCGGGCGCGCTGCACGTTGGGTGCGGAAGGTCCGCCCGGGCCCAAGTTCTGTCATGCACTGACTGCCGCAGAGCCCGAGTCGGAGTGTATCACAGAACCTGGGCCGGGGGGACAGCGGTGCGCCTCCTCCTTCCGGCTGAGCTCGGGGCGAGGCTGGCCTCCCTCTGAGCGCGCCCCCAGCCCCTGGCGCGGGGGGGGGGGGCCGGAGCGCGCACAACCGCCCACCGGCCCTCGGAGCACCTTCCCCTCCCTGCAGAATCTCAGTCCACCCCACCCCCAAGCCGTCTCCATCGCTGCTCTAAACTGACCCAGAACTTCAGCCCCACGCGGACTCTCAGGACGGGCCTCCTGGAGAGTCCACGCCCGCGGGAACTTTTTCTCGCCGGCCCGGCCCGGGCCCCTCCCCGCGCTGCTCAGCGGTGGCACCAAGTTCCCGGCGCCAGGCGTGCGAGTTACGAGTTGGCTGCCCCCGCTCAACCCCACCCCGGCCGGGATTCCTGCCCCCCGGACCCGGCGCCCGCCCGCCTGCTCCGTACCCGCGACCCCGCGGGCTCCCCGGCTCGGGCGGGCGGTGCCGCGCCCCCGGCCAGGGCGGCCGCGGCCCCCTCCCCCGGGTGCGGACGTGGCCAGGCCTCGGGCCGCTGCATTCCGCTCGCCGCCCAGCGCTGACAGCGCCTCCCGCCGCCCCGCCCCCGAGCCCGCCCGGCCCACCGGGCCGCCCCCCACCCCTCGGAGGCCACCGCCCTCCCTTTCCCCGCTCAGTGCCTGCGGTTCCCTGTCCCTGAGGCCCTCTCCTCCTTCTCGTCCTCCCTACTTTCCCTGACCCGCTCCCCCTGCGCCCCACACCCCAGCTCTCCTGTCTCTCCTTCTCGGCTCCTTTCCCCTCTTTAAAGTCCATTCTCCGTATGTCCCAGGACCATCCCCCTCTCCGTCCCCTTCTGCCTCCTCTCTGGCCTGTGGGTTTGTTTGCACCGGTGTCCACAGGCTGTCCTGGGGACAGCAGAAAACACAGCCACATCTGGTTTTGTCTCTTTACTGCTAGGTGCTGTGCAGACAAATACCATCGGGGCTCAGGGACAATGACAGCAGTGAGAGCAGAGGAGGACAGCTCTGGAGAGACCCGCTGTTCCCAGCAGGTTCTCCCACTCCTGCCACTTCCTCCCAGGGGCCCTGGGGACCCTCCGAAGTCTCCCAAGACACAGGACACAATCCAAAGCAAGGCTCCACACCGATGGCATCAGGCTTTGCCGCGCTGTGGCTTCTTGGGTCTAAGTGATACCAGAACACATGCTCTCCCTTCAGGGTACTCAAGGCCAGTGGGAAACTCACACTCCCACGCTACAGAGTTAACAGTGCTTACCCATTTCCCCTAAGGCCGCCAGGCGTGTATTTTACACTCAAACCCTCTCACACGCATTACCTAACACACCCCACACCTGGGAGGCCGGTGTTCCCGCTCCCACTTTAAGGAAAGGGAGACTCAGACCGTTTCCGGATTGTATAGCTAGTCACAGTCGAGGGAGATAGAATCCAAGGTTCAGACTCGACATGTCCCCAATGCCTCCTTTCAGGAGGCCTGTCGTGCAGGGCACCGGAGGACTGCCAGGCGGGGCTTTCCTCTGCGGCAGGGGTCCGGTCTTCTCATTCTTCCAGTGCCCACTTTGGCGGCGTCACCAAAAGGCCGTCTCTGACCTCCACCGGACAGTCTCTCCTGCCACATTCTCTAACTCAGCACCCTACTTATTTCTTACATTGCCCTTTTCTCAGTCTCTAAATATTATTTTTACTGATTTGTTTACAAATGTGTAGGATCCTTCTCCTCACCAGACTCTGAGTCCTCTGAGGACAGAAATGACGTGTCTATCTTGCTATTGTGGAATTCCTACCCCCCCCCCCACCAAGGGCCTAACGCACTACAGGTACTTAATAAGCATTTGAGGAGGAAGAGAATGAGTAAATGAATTTAGGATGAAGGAGAGCACGTGTAAGTGCTCAGACTACCTATTTTAAATAACTGAAATGCACTTATCAATGAAGCCGTATTTTATGTTCCGTACAAGTATTTATTGAGCGCCTTATGAGTCCCTGAGCTTCAAGAGTGGAAAAAACAGAGTCTTTGCTCTCATGGAGTTTACATTCAAATGTTACTGTTTGTGTGCAAGGCAGAAGGTAAACAAAGCAGATATTACACAAGTTGTTGATAGGTGCCATGAAGAATAATAGAGCAGGAGCAGGGGCCGGGGATGTGAGGGCTTGAGGGGAGCAGGGCAGAATGCCGTTTTCCTTGGTGTCACTGGGGAAAGCCATCAAGGAGGTGACATTTGAAGACAGAGCTGAAGGAGGTGAGAGAGGAAGCCATGCAGACGTCTGGTAAGAACGTCTGAACCTCTAGGATTTAGAAGGCGCAACTGAATCTTCCTTGCGGGCTGTCAGAGTGATAACAGTGAGCACTAACCGACACTGGTCGGTGCCATGGGGGCCGGGGAGGAAGAGGCAGTGTTTTTTTGGCTTCCAAATCATCAGAAGTTATGTCAATGGTCGTGCCAGCTTGGTGTGTTATTAAAAATACTGACTCGATTATTTTGATCCCTTAACACTTCTGTGAGCTGGCTCATTTTTAGCTCATACGTACAGAAAAGCCTGCTAGCTTCTGTGTGGTATACGGCACCCACGGGCGGAAGGAGGGAGGGAGGGAGGAAGACCTAGGAAGACAGGGGCCTCAGGGAGCTGGCGTGGCTCTGTGGGGCGAGGTGAGGGAGGGTTAGTTACAGGACTGGAGGAGAAGGTGCTGGAGAGGGGCACAGGGGCTGGCGTAAAGAGAAGGTTGGGGAAGGAAGCTTAAGGACCACAAAATCCTCATCACCACCACCTCCAGCACTTGGCTGCTCTGGTTCTAATCACCAGGATCTCTTTACATCTTAAGTGCTGTGGCGAATGTCAACTCAAAGCCCTTGAGTTGAACTTTGCAAGGAAGAGATTCTCCTCATCGATGGCTGTGCCCTAAACTCCCTCAGTAGAGACCCCAGGGCTCCTCTCCTTTCTCGGGACCCCCGGCCCAGGGTGTCCCTTTAATGAGATTCTGTGTGAAAATATAAGCTCAGTGTGCACAGTGCTGGAGCAGCGTCGTGCGCGGAGCATCACCTCGGGACTTTACAGTGTAAGCCTGGCAGACCCTGAAAGCGTTCAGGCGGAGCAGGAGAGGAGCAGCTGGAGAGCCTCTGCAGAAGGAGGAGGCCAGAGCCGGTTCAAAAAAAGCACAGCCTGCATGTTCCCCTGCGCTCTGCTCCCTCGGAGGGCGTGTGGGGGGCGGGGTGGGGGCGTGCACTCCTCTAACCAGCGTCTGTGGAGTAGCCAGGCTCAGAGTCCGTCCTGAAAACACACACGTGTGCTTGAACACGCACACACCGCCCTCCAGAATCTCCAAGAGGCAAGTGATGCAAATAGGTTCTCCTCTGGACCTTGCTTTGCCTTGGAAACAGAGGTGAGACCATGCCGTTTCCTCTGACTCACCCTCCTGCCACCACATTTCTGTGCTGCCTGTCCTAGGATTTCAGCATCTGTTCCTGTGTGACAAGAAGAAACAGCTCCCTTGGGTGACAGTCTCTCTCTCTCCTTCCTGCTATAATGTCAAGAGGGGGAGGTGTGTGTGGCGTGTGGTGGCCTCCAGAGAGAAAATGCAAGCTTCTCTGCTCTGCCCGCAGGGTGGGTTTCCAGGGGCCGCCTGAAGGACGGCTCTGCCATCTTCCACGTAGTCGGCTTCCTCTGGGGGGATGGGGTCCTAGTGTGGGCAAGGGAGGGACCTCAAGCTCGGCTCTGAGCACGAGTGGCTTTACACGTGGGATTTTTATTTTTAATTTATTTATATATATATTTTAAAGATTTTATTTATTTATCTTTAGAAGGGAAGGGAAGGAGAGAGGGAGAGAAATATCAATGTGTGGTTGCCTCTTGTGTGTCCCCTGCCGGGAACTGGCCTGCAACCCAGGCATGTGCCCTGACTGGGAATCGAACCACCATACTCTGGTTCACAGGCCCGCGCTCACTCAATCCACTGAGCTACACCAGCCAGGGCTTAATTTTTTTTTTTTTAATCCTCACCCGCGGATATATCCATCCATTGATCACAGAGAGAGAGGAAGGGAGATGGAGAGAACGAAAGAGAAACATTGATGTTAGAGAAACATCGATCGGCTGCTCCCTGAACGTGCCCTTACCGGGGACCAAACCTGCACCCTTTTGGTTTATGGGATGATACTCCAACCACCTGAGCCACACTGGTCAGGGCCATAAGATCTGATTTTTAAACTTTGAATATGTATATTGCTATTTTCACTGAACTCAGGAGGCCCCAACTAGCAAGGGGCAGAGCCAGATTTTTGAACCCTGCTCTGAGTCACCTCACAGTAGCGCCTCCCTGACTGCCTCGCCACACTGAGAGCCACACAAAGCAATTCCTCAACACAGTTTGGGAGAACGTGGTGAGGATGTACAGAACAGCTAAAGTCAGCTTCATAAAATGTTATGGCAAGACAGGAGTGAACAATGAGGTGCTTCACTGGCTATAGGTCTGGGAAGAGAGCACTTAGGGATTGAGAAACGGTGCATCCTTTTCCAGGTGGTGGTCCTCGTTGTGTGCTCAGGCTGCTGTTGTTCTTTTCCACTCAACCTGGATTCCTGCTCCAAGCTAGCGATTCTCTGGCTGTACAGCGGAATCACCAGAGGAGCTTTTACAAAGTCCGGATGCCCAGGGCTGCTCTGGGAGACTGATTTAACTGGCCAGGGATGGGACCCGGACATTAACTTTTTTTTTTTTTTTACAAGCCCCCCACCAGGTGATTCTAATGTGTAGTTAGGGTGGAGAAGCAATCTTCTAAGACAGGTCTGGTAGGGGTGGACGGAAAGACAGGCTGGCTTGCAGAAGAGCTTTACCTATTTTGATGGTTTAATGGTAACAAGCTTGCTAATGATGTTTACCATGTAAGAAAGGTGCCAGATGTCTGGATTAGATGGCAAATTGATTTCCTTGCAAGACATGCTAACGTTTAGTATTGACAGGATGTAATCCTAGAATCTCTCAGAAGGGTGTAAGGCAATCTCAGGCAGGCATCTAATCCATTCCTCTGGACTAGATGGAAATTGGAAAGGGAAAAATAAGGGCAACCAAAATAGCAAAAAGATTGCATTTCCCCTTAGGGGAAAGAGCAATTCCCGCTGCTCCAGAACAAATCCAATCCCAGCCAGGCCACCTTCCCATATCCCCTTCTCCGAGGGTTTCCTGGCTGGTGTTGTCTTTGCAGGATGAGTGGAAGAGGGCTGTGCCTGCCGGTGGCTCGACAGCTTTTCCGAAGAGGAAGCTGGGTCAACAGATACAACCAGGACTCGTGGGGATTTCAGAGTTAGCCGTCTCCTTTTGTGGCCCCAAATGCCTGTGCATTAGGACGAATCCTCTCCCTGGCTTCCTGCAGCCTTCTCTTCGCTCTTGAGCAACGTGGAGCTGCAGGGGCAAGGACTGGTTCTGCGGAAGGCTCTCAGCCTCTCCCTTAGGGAGAAAGTGCATGTGCTCACTTTTTCCAATGGTCTTTTTGGTCTGATTGAATGGATACAGCAGGATGGATGACATACCAGCATAAGATCTTTCTTTTACTTCTTAGGTGAATGTCCTATTAACAGCTCC